ATTGTATTTTTCCCGCTCGTTTCTCCCAGTCCGGGTTGTTGACAGTACTTACGACTACTTCCCCGTCCCCCCTCTCCCCCCCCCCAATTCCTGCTTCTACACCTTTCTATTTCCCTCCCGTATTGACTTCCGCTTTTCCAATATACACGTAGCCTAGCTCTATTCCTTCTTTTCTTGAATTCCTTACCTATTCACTTATTTTCATCTATTGTCGCATGAAAATTAAGTTACTATCAACTTCAAAAAAATTAACTGTTTTAATAATAACACATCATAAATCATCCACTTTTCTAGTTGAGATTGTCACTAATATTTAATCAAATTAATAAGCAGAAATCACGAGCAGGTAGATGATTCAGTAGTCACTGTGTTCATGCTCCACAATAGGGGTCATAGGGTGGCTTCACACTGACACATCTATTTGGCTGGGAAGTTGCCACCACTTCTCTGACAATAAAACCTAATGCAGTTGGTATGGTATTCAAAATGCTAATATAACACTTTTAATAGCACTCTAATTGAAGGATGAGTTACATTAAATAAGATAATTTAGGCCTTAAAACTAAATAGCTTGAGTTGTAGTGAATGACCTTCGTGACTTTAAAAAAAGGCGAAGGTGCATCTCCGTTTTGAAGGTGATTGAGTGAAACTTGCATTGGATTCCACCCTCGCTGTGTTGGTTAGGTTTGGCCAGTCACTCAACGGACGTGCATTGAAAGGCAACGAATATTTGACTTTTTTATGTGGCAGGCGTGCGATAGACTTACCTCCACATTGTGCACCCTGGGCAACGTATTCTCATACGGCAAAAAAAGCCTATTAATCGGAAGTTTACTTCTCACTTCAAACTACCATGACCCCACTGTATGCCAAATTCGACCACTTCAACAATACTCGTCTTGCCTTTTACTCTGCCTTTGTGTTCCTCTGTCTCTTTACATCTGTGAATCACTCAAATGTTCCCCCCTCTCGACTTTTATGACTTTGATATTCCTCCTCTCTGTGAAGTCCGAAGTCAGCTAAATGGCTAATGATAAGTATCAAAACGCCTCCCATTTGATATAAATAAGTAAGTATATAAGCTATGCTCCTTAAAACGTTAGAATTCTCAATTTGGCCTCAAAAAGTTTCAACCTACCTTCAATACTTCGCTCTTTCTAAAACATTAAGACATTAAACAAAAGTCCAGGTCTTTTAAGATAATTTTATAAACTTACTTTCCATTTAGTACCTAATTTAAATATCTTATGTGCACTTTCGCTGTCTTGAATTAACACAGTGAAAAGAACTGAAGTAAACGGACGCGTTTTCCCAAAAAAATAACTTCTTCCTCAGCATTAGTGCCAGAATTTTATGCACACTACCTTGACAAATCTGAGTATCGAGGCTGACAAAAGGAACCTCAAACACCAGGATATTCTGGAAGATGTGGGGGTGTTAAATATCACTTATCGAACAAGTGCATTAGAGGTCTTCTCTACCAATCAGCAAATAATATTTTTATTTGCAGTGGAGTTAGGTACTAGTTAATAATCCATCTTGCTTGGCTGTTCACCACGCTTGCAATGACTGCTCCTCGCTCTAACAGTAGTAATTTGGAGGTGAAAATTTGTACACTAGAGGACCCTATCATTTATTTCAAATTGCGGCCGTTTTGATAGTTATCAATATCCATTTAGCTGACTTCGGGCTTCACAGAAGGAAGGTTCATCAAAGTAGCAGAAAGTCGAGGGGTCGGGAACAGAAGAGCGATTCACAGATGTAAAAGAGGCGGACAGACACAAAGACAGAGGAAAAGGTAAGATGAGTACTGTGAAAGAGGTTGAAATTGCCTGCAGCTAGTGGGAGCGCTAAGGTTTAGTAATAGGCTTACAGACCTGCTCGAGTTGCAAAGGAAGCATTAAGCCAAGTCACTCGTACATTTCGAACCTGACTGGGAAAGATGCTCCAATTTAATTTCTAAAAATATTATTTTTTTGCATATAAAAGTTGATTCAGAAGATTTAAGTTGTGCCTGTTTGCCGATAGTTTCCGCTGTGATTGATTGCTGTGTTCATGAATTTCTTACCGAATTGCTAGTAATTGGCACAGCTATATAAGACATTACTAATGTCTAAATGCCCTTCTAATTATTTGATAACTCTAAATTGATGAGTAAAAAGGATCGAGATAACTCCAAAAATGTAACAAATTAACATGCCTCACTAAATAATGACTCTATACTTTTTACATTGACCTTATCCCATAAACTATTAGAGATCAGACGATAAACAGTTCACAAGATTTGAAGTAAATTATAACAATATTGCTATCAGTTACGAGCATGAGATGACAGCAAGGGAAGAATGCGGAATCCATGGCCCGAATTCTGTTCACAGAATTTTTATGTTCTGTTCGAGGGATTGAAAATATTCGATTCCTCCTCCTCCAAACAAGGAGCGGTTTGAATCCAGCAAATTGGCAAGCCGTGGCCTCTTGTTGGAGCAACTATTAAATACCAAATATCGACTAACTTCGAAGCAATATATATATACCACAAAATAACTAGAACCTCCTAATCATTATTCCCAAATAACCACAATTAACTAGCTCAAACCGAAATAAGGATAATACATGCGTTTGTTTTCTATTCAAGGAAGACATCTAAACTATTCAACTGTACAGGCTGGCATTTGAGAGGGAAGCAATATCTGAATATAACGTTTACATTATTTAGTAATCTGTGTTTTGCCCATGATCTTTACAAATTTCGCTTTCTTCACTTCTGCCATAAATTTGCGATCCAGCTCAAATTCATATTCGAATGTAGGAGTGTGATCAACTTGTTCACCATCTGGGGCCTCATAAGCCTTTGAATCACAGGGAGGGGGTGTGGCATAAGGTCCAGATGCTTGAAGTAGTAGAGGTTCCCCGTTTGATTCCACTTGAACAGGACTGATAGCAGCTTTGTAAAGACGTGGAGAAACCTCAGCTAAACAACGAAGAGCTCTCAGTTGGGCAGCTTGAACCTTCAGTAACTTCTGGTTTTCTTCCCTTGCCACTTGAGCTTGATATCTTGTCCATTCTTTCATCAATATGGCACGACTGTCAATCTCTTCTTCCGTAAGGGACACGGGTTCCCGTCGTCGAGATCTAATTAAAAAATAAAAATGTTACTCAAAATATTTAAGTAGAGGCGTGTAATTGAATTTAAATTTAATTAGAAAAAGAATACTTTAATGAATAAAAAGAGTGGGCAAGCCTACCTTTCCTCTTTCAAAAGTTGTCGATCACCTTCGATTTCTTCAACAGGTTTAAGTTTTCTACCCTGTTTGGCAAGGCGCTTAATTTCTCTCTCGATACGTTTGGCTTTCCGTCGAACTCTGTTGGCTTCTTGCTGAGGATCAACACGCTTCTTCTTTTTCAGTGGCTCGGCACCTAGAACGCTACTAACGTAAAGGCCCCGGAAGCTTTCTACCAGGGAGAGTTCACACGAGAGGAAGGGAGTTATAGACTTTGTCAAAGAGGCGAACATGACTAAAATAAGTGAACCGATGTATTAAAATCAGCCAACAAAAAATTACAAAAAAGCGAAATAAAATCCGCAAGAACTAGGGATAAATAATTTACTTAATAACTTAAAAAGTAATTGCATTCTAGACTTGCAAAAAAATATTATAGGCCCGAAAAGCAGAATAAACAAAATCAAGAGTTTGTACCCTTAGCACTTCGGATTTCTATCTTGTCAACCAATGACAGACAATTTCATCTAAAGGAATGGATAAGATAATGACAAAAACCGAATTAACGGCAAAGAGCAAATTCAAGTCGCAGCCGGATTCTAAGTGGTTAGTAAATGTTATTTTATTTGGTGAGCTTAAAGTTATGAAAGTAAACGTTTTAACTATGAAAATATAGCGCCCATACAAAATCAGCACAAACCATCTGCGACTAACTTCGAAGAAAGAGGGTGAGTTACGGACTGTTAAAAGTAATGATGATAAAAATTATTGAGCTCATTTGTAAAAAGAAATTGAATAAAAATATGTGTTTATAGCACAAAATTTATATTAGCAATATTAACTAAACAATCCAAGAAATATATTGGCCAAATGTGATTAACAGGTACTAAGTGTACTATTCAGCTAAAACATAGGAAGTGATTCATGTAACTAGCGACCGGTAAACATGGAAAGAAATAATTTTTATTGAAAATGCTTTTTGTCTCACTGCGAATTTACTGAAATCCAAATAAAAATATTCAATATTAACTATATTATCCAAACATTTACACATTGCCGCCGGTAGTAGCCTTGAGGAAATTTTACTAAACGTACGCATTCCTCCAGCCCTGCAAATCATGAATACATACTTTACCGCTTCCAGGAAACCTCTCAATTACACTTTCATGAGGTGGAAATTCTGGGAGCAACTTTTATAATATTAAAGAATCAATTATATTAATATAGCCCTTAAGCCCATATATGAACATATTCACCACAATTGTTCATTAGTTAACAGACGAAATCTTTTCATTTTTCGAGATTTCATTAGATTGGTTCTACAAATTGTATTCTTTAGAATTTTTGTTTAAGACTTCTCACTGGGTATTTTATATCACATACCGGGTTTACTCATTAATCCTGTCTTTGACAAAGTCGTGTTCACAAAGTATGCTAAAATTCTGCTCAATTTCAAATTAAAAATTAATAATTTTGTAATTTATGAAGCTTAGTAATAATATTCAAAATAAATAATTAAAATGAAAATGCTTTTTTCAGAGTCATAGTGCGCAATATTTTGAAAGCCTTACTTGTAGGCATTTTGTGGTACTATATTTGATGGGTGCAAGTGTCAGTAACTTATCAGATTTGGCCACTAACCCATATCTAATAAAACTGGTTGGCCAAGAGAGTGTTAATGTCAGTAATGAATACTGGAATAGACTTCTATCTTTCGACATCCAAACCCCACTTACCAAGTAAGTTCAATTACTTCTTCAATAATTTTATTTATATTAGTGAAGCCTCGTTCTATCTCGAAGCCGCGGTTTCGAGCCTTCAGCAGCGCTTCTATCGAAATGACTTACGAACACATAATCTAGCGACCTTACTTCAACAGTTCATTGTTAAGGCTACTCTTGTATTGGGTAACATTAAAATGGGCCAAGAAATGTAAGATTGATTTTACGCTCCAAACCTCGCAATAGAAATCCTCAGGATATTAAAATGGCGCAGAATGCTCTACTTATATTCCGTATTTTCACAAAGTACGTATTGGAAAACAGATCGAGTCACAGCATGAACTTGCATTTTGCAGATATCAATTCCAAAGGTAATTATTGATTTTGATCTACTTTTGGTTTAGCATCTAACTCTGCATCTCTAGCTGAGTATACGGTTCATCTTCTCTTCCTTCTGGTTATTGAGATCACTCCAAGGTACATACGACTCTTGCTATAACTCGTATTGTTTAGTGAGATGACTTACGGCTTGTTGTATGAGTGTATTTCGTCTCTTTTGATTCTCCTCTCTGCTCAAGTATCGGGCTATGGAGGTGAAGGAATTCCTGCAACTTGCAAGTATTTCACTTCAAAGAAGTGGTCAGTAACGTTATTATGAAATGTATATATTTCATATTTTTATCTTTCAATTAAATTCTTTTTACTTTTAATTTACAGTCTTGCAGATGCCCCAGCTTTCATCCATCGGCTACTCTTAAATGTTGCTGAAAATCTGCCTTGTCCACCGAGTATGCTCACTGAAAATCATGCTCCAGGGCTTTTATGGAATGCCGCTTCATCTATTGCAAGTATGCTATACACCAATTCCTATTTTTATCCTATATGTATTCTTTCGTTCGAAAACTCGTAAATAATATTTTTGCAAGTGTTTGAACTTTTCAAGGTTTCATATCTTACTCAGCTTTATATCATTAATATTTCCATTAAGAATTAGGCCACTGTATTTTTTCACGAGAAAGTTCGTGTTTACTGCAGTAGAAGGATGTCATTTTTCCTATTGTTAAGTAGGTTTTGAACTAGCCGTTCTTATGTGAAATTTGCTTTTTCCTAATCACAATTGACCAGTGCTAACATTCATTCATCATTTGATACTCCTCGATGATCTCGCGAATTTAAGTTGCTCTGACTTATTTATAGGCACCACTCTTATTAAGGTTAACTACATATATTCGTGGCAATATTCCTCACTCTTCATGGTATTTGTGCCATATTGAAACTTATTTATATCGCTGTGCCTCCTTAACCTTAAAGCCCAATTTTTGATCGCGAATGTATAAATGGCGAGAGTTTTCATTGGCTTGTTTTTCCCCCAATTGATATCTAGTTATCACCATGGTATATTCTCACCAGTAAAATGGGTTTTGGTAACCACTTGGTTTAATATATTATTGCTCTTAACTCCGTAAATAGCCTTTTATGTAGTCAATATGTATGGAATTATTTGCAGCCTTATGAGGGGTTTCCATCCAATCACGACTTAATTGAAATCCTTTTCGGGAAAGCCTCCAGGAAAATGCCTTTTCAAGAAATCTCAACTGATTTTAATGTTTATTTATATCAAATGGCAGGCGTTTTGATGGCTATCATTAGCCCTTTAGTTGACTTCAGGCTTCACAGAGAGGAAGGAGCATCAAAGTGAAAAAAGTCGAGAGGGGAGGGGGACAGAAGAGTGTTTCGAAGACCAAGGTAGAAAAAAGGTGAGATGAGTACTGTGAAGTACTGGAATTTGACATAGAGTGGGGTGATGGTAGTTTGAAGTGAAAAGTCAACTGCCAGTTAATAGACTTGCCGTATGAGTATACGTTGCCCAGGGTGCACCACATGGAGGTAAGTCGATGTCAACTGCCGATTAATAGACTTTTTTGCCGTATGAGAAGTGATAAGTCAACTGCCGGTTAATAGACTTTTTTGCCGTATGAGTGGGTTGCCCAGGGTGCACCGCGTGGAGGTAAGTCTATCGCAACAACTGCCGGTTAATAGACTTTTTTGCCGTATGAGTATACGGTGCCCAGGGTGCACCACGTGGAGGTAAGTCTAAATATACATTGCCCAGGGTGCACCACGGAGGTAAGTCTATTGCACACCCCATGATACCTATCATAACGCCTGCCATTTGAAAGTACGTTGTCCAGGGTGCACCACGTGGAGGTAAGTCTATCGTATTCTTAAGAATAATTGTTTAGAAAACCAGCAAGGGTTGAAAGTTGCCCAGGGTGCACCACGTGGAGGTAAGTCTATCGCACATCCCCTGATTTTAATACAGCAAAATCTAGTCTGCTTAATTTGGTTCAAATCTCATTGCCAGCGTTTAGAAAAGGAAGCTTTCATATCTAATTTTATTTTCTGAACTGCCCAAGCGCATGCCTAATGTTTAGTCTCATTTTGAGGGAGCATGATCTTCGTTGAAGTTAATTTGTGTGTAAAATGATTAGGTCACAATGTTGTCATATTATTATTGAATGATAGCAATTGATCACTGGGATATGCCATTTAACAGAAATAGGTGATTGCTTAATAAGTCTCCTTTCAGATGAGCTTTGCTTTGAGTTGTCCATCGTAGTGCATCAGCAAGTATTACTATTTTAGGTTCTTACTTTCAAATACTTCCATCAACCCTATCATAATCTAAACCACCTCTAGCTATGCATTTCGTATCCCTTCCATCGTTCTACTAGTATTCCCAGTATCTTTCTTGTACTCAATTAATCTTCCAATTTCTTCCCAGGACTGTCTCAAATTTGATTTTTTTGTTTTCCACTATCGATGTACTAGTAAAAATTATAATTTTCTCCGTTAGGCGGTCTAATGACAGTAGTAACCCTGGGTTACTCCCGCCGTTCAGCCAGCTCAAGGGCTGATTCTACAACCGATTCAGCTCTTCCAGGCGAAGCGGTCCTCCATCCACTTGCAAAGCAGAGCTGTCATCTCCTCCTTGTTCTTACTACCCAATCAACGGGTTTCACCTCTGCCGTCTCTGCTCCACCTCAACAGACTGACCCGACCAATAGCGGTGGTAACTCTGAATCTGTAGCAGCTGCATCTGTCTCAAGGAGTATTTTCAGGGATATTGGCTCAAATCCTTACAGAGAAGCTCTCTTCTCTCTTACTCCACTTGGTGAGTCTATTTCCTTTAACTTATTATTATTATTAGTTACTATTACTATTAGTTATGCGCATATATGTCATCAAAGTCGATGTTTGTCCTTAATATTATTAAAATCAGGTGTCATTCAGATGATTGCGGTAGCAAATTTTGAAACATATAAAAAAAGATTTCTTTTTATGTTCACATATAAATATTTCATTGATCTTTAAAATGTCCCAGGAATGTGATGGAGCTAGTTTGTTTAGAGACTTTGGATCTAATTGATTACGAACATTGTCGTCCCAAGCTTATCTACATACGGTTAGCCGATTTCATGCAATATCCATTCCGGTCATTTTGATGACTCAGTTATATCACCGCCATATTTATTCCAACCCATGAGATTTCTCTATGCTATATAGACGTCCCTCTTTGCTTTTGGTCTATAGCCAATTTATTCAATCGTATGTTTTCTTTCTTTCTTCCATTATTGGCTAACTTTAATATTTGACACCTTATTGGTCACCATATCGATTTCCTAGAGTATTCAACCACTGTTTGGGATAAGTCTGCTAATCTCATTAGGAAAAAAGGTGAAGTGGTTACTAATTGCTAAATGAAAACAATTTAAACAAAATTATTTGGTGATCTTAATTAAGTTCGTGTGTACTGTGATTCCAGTGAAGCCGTAGCGGGTTTACAACAGAGTATATCAGTTTAGAAGTCTTCTGACTATTCCCTTGAGTAGCTTTGAAAGCAGTCAATTTTTATTGTCAATTAGCTATCCTTGCCTTTTCTTTTATTATTATATATAAAAAAAAACAATTTCCAGGTTATTTTAGAACTGTTGGGTATGAGGAAAATTCGTGAACTTTTAACTGCTGTATTTTTTATTTCATTGGAAAGCAGTAACGAATAACGGAATACTGACTGACAATTGTAACTCAAATTGTCTCAAATTTTACGATTTCCACCCGTGCATATGCTCTCTCTCTCTCTCTCTCTCCCCCTCCTGACCCCATTACCTTTTAAGACAACCTTGCATGCACTCTAATTATATCGGTGTTACTATTTCCTGATGGAAAGCTACGGTTTTATTACAGTCTGAAACATTCATTCTAAGAAAGGTTTCCATCAAAGTAACGACGGAAAAGGGGGGCCTATTAATTTTGGAAAGCGTTCCAGTCGCCATCGGTTGCTGATTTTGTAGTAAATTCCTTCTTTGTAATGCTTAAATACTTTTGATTCCGATAAACTGATGTCTTAGTACCAGTTTATCGCTTACTCTTATCTTATTTATGCCAATATATTCACTCATTACTCCCCTCCTCCCCCAT